GGTAGAGCAATTAATAGTTTAATCATGATTATTTAATAATGGTCTCATTTTTTTCTTCAGGTCATGAACACCGAAGTGGACCAGATAAAAAAAGCATGCCAAGTGGTTGGGGGGCGTAACTTCCGTCCTCACATCACTTTCATTGTGCTTACAAAAATGCACGCTCTGCGCATTTATAAGAAGGTTGGTTCAATTTTTTATTAAAATTAAAATTTTTAAGACATACAAAAGTTTTTTGGAAGGATTTGGATTATTATAGAAGGCGTTGCCGATTTGTGTTGTTTGAGTGAAGTTGTACTGAGAGGTTTGATTCAGGAATTTTTGGTCGAAAAAAACAGGATGTCTTATGTTAGTGTTCTCAGCTAACTTTATTTTCGATTCTGAGCACCATATTTTGCAGAATATTCGTAGGCAAGATCGAGCAGCAGAACAGAACATCAAACCGGGTACTATTATTGATGAGCATGTGGTGAATCCCGTAACAAACGAGTTTTATTTGAATTCGCATTCTACATTTCAGGTTTATTTCAAGCTTTTTTCTCTTTATTTTTTAAGGATTTGATAGTAGATGTAAGGAATATACTGAATAAAACAGGTTTCTCAATCTTAATTAAATTTGCTAGGCTTGCTCTTGTTCCATCTGCTTGAACTGATAATAGCGTCGCATTGAACATGATTGAGTGATAGAAATAGCTTTCCAACAATTTACTGATTTTTTATCTGAAAATTTAGGGCACTGCAAAGACACCACGGTATACATTATTGTTCGATACTTCGGGAATGAAGGCAGATGTAATGCAAGGTATTGTGTATGCACTTGCATACGATTTTCAAATTGTAAATATGGCTGTGTCGCTCCCATCTCCAGTGATGATAGCTTCACGCATGGCTAAGCGTGGTCGCTCTAATTACATAGCCATGTAGTAAGTTTTAATTTTTATATTCGATGCATCAGAATCGAGAAATGAATGAGTTGTTTTCATTTTATGATTAGAAGCTATTTTTATGCAAAAGATTTCATGATGTTTCATATTGTACGTGTGATCAGCTAAAATTTGAATAATTTTAGCGGTGATGAAACCGATAATTCTGATAATGGTAGTAGTATTGAAAAAGATTTGGTCGAGTTAAATAATCGACTTAGTTACATTAGTAAACCGCTGGAGGCCGTACGATTCAATGCTTGAATACCGCCAGAATATTCGATGCTGTACATATTAATTCTTTTCAAAAGCATTATTATGCGTTAAATTCTTTTTTTTCTTTAACTCCATAAATCTCGGGACATTTTTATTCTATGTGCAATCTGGTTAATTTTTCTTGCGTTATGACATTTTTACACCAGCGTACTTTCACGTTTTCGTTTCACTATCTACTTCGTTAATACTTTCTGTGCTTTCTGAGTATTCGAATATACGCACATTCACATATCGCAAGTTCATACCGCAAATTTTGCTAATGATTTTGTTCATTTTATTCTACGATTTTGCTCTCCCATTAATAAATTTTTTGCTGTTTTGTAAGATCATATCATAGCGTGAAATTTTTTCTCCGAGAGTGAAGAAGGTATATATTCACCTTTATGAAAGCCGGATTTTTCTATCGTATTTCACCAGTGGACGAAAATGAATGTCTTAATGAGAGTTTGCCGAAAGGAAATTTATGCAAAAATAAAAAGAATTATTTTCGAAGTACATAGCTTTCTGAAATGTTATTTCACTATAAAGAAATGCAACTTTTTTTGTAAATGTATATTTCTTGAAATCTAAAACTCCTACAGTCCTAAATTGTAGCGGTAGGTCCAATTTTTATTAAAATGATGAAAAATTTGAAGGAGGGAAAAATAATTTAATTTATATTAATCACTTGTTTCGAATTTTAGAAAATATGCTTTTTTGAAAGATGTCTAAGTTAATCCATTACTTTTATTTTGCTAACTTTATTATTTGATAAGTAAACAAGGTGAAGAATATCACTTAGAAAAATTACCCGGAAAATGAACAAACAAATAATTACTGACAGAGTACGAAAATAAAGCATGTAAATTTGGTTCCGTTGTTTCATGTCCTTGAATAAATTGGACTAGATATTAGGAAACTACATTTTTAGATTGAAGGACGGGAGGTATAGGGAGAAGTCAGAAAATGGCAAGTGCAGATCAAAAGACTAAATGTTTTTAAATTCTACAAATTTTAGGACTACAATGTCACTTATAAGGAAGAAAGAAAAATGGGGGTGAATTAATATTTGATAATATCTAACTCTCCCTACCTTTAACAGTGTGAGGACTGGCAAATTTGCGTCCGCATAGCCTTCTTTTTTTAACTTTGTCTGAGGCTCATGTGTTTCTATCATCTAAATGACAACAACATAGAGCTTTAGAAGAATAAAATAATTTCAATTCCCTACATTTTCATGTGTTCATAAGAACGCAATCTCAACCTGATATTCAGGTTTTTAAATTTCATACATCGCTCTCGTCCTGATGCAAAATCTGGATTTCTTTAGTTATCATAGATATAAAATACGCAGAATAACCATTTCAGAAATCGAGTGTAGCGTAATTCATACAATTCCTGGTCATTTTATAGTTATCTCATTGAAGTATCAAAAATTTTTTCGGGGAAAAGAAAAAACATAAGAAAGAATGACGGAGTAATTCACTGCTTTACCAAATTGATATCTGTTACATGTTTACTCAAAGATCAAATTGCATACTTGATTAGCAAATCTAATCTATCACCTATTTCAACTTTCAACAATCTCCATATCTGTTATGTGATTAATAATGAAAGGCATAAATCGATGAGCAACAAGCATATGTCGTAACCTTAACCTGCTTAAACATAAAGAGAAAGAGGAAGACAAGACAGTAATTTAGGAAAGTAACACTTACAGATGAGATTTTTTAATTACATTAATAAAACGAACAATGAAACAATCGTTCGACCTAAAAATCAAATACAACATACAGCATAATAACACGATAGGGTTAATAAGTGAAAGGCTGGAGGAGGTACAGTCCATACATTCAGCTTTTATGCAACAAGAATTTAATCATTCAACATAGCTCTGATAAAGCATACCTTCCCGCTAAATATGGCAATAATTTTTGTTGTATTATTGTTTTAATTCATGTAGAAATTTTTAGTGCGAAGATTTTTTTTTTTTAAGATTAGTAAGCGCACGTAAAATATATGTATCCGAATGGATTGATCTATCTTAAACATTTTCATGTTGACTCATCTCTACAGGTATTTAAAAATTCGCATACGAAGCAACATCGCGGAATGAAAATGAAAGAAGGAATAAAAATTTTTATTCCTTTTTTCATTTTCATTCCGGTCTATTTTAAAAGAAAATAGAAAGAAGAATGAGCAGATAGGAAAGCAGTAAATATGAATAATCAAACAACACTATCTCGACGACAAAAAAATTGAAAAATAAAAAATCATCATATTAAAATCATTAATTATTAGTGACTGACAGCATTATACTTTAACAAAATTTTGGAAAACAAAAATTATTCCCATAAATAAAAAACAAATATAATGAAGAGTGCTATGTCCTAAATTCCGTACTAAAAATTCAAATTTCTTATATCAAATCCTCAATACACTCATTTTGTTCCTGTCTGCTTAGAAAAAAGCAAATTTCGTTCCTCGTCATAACAAAAGAAAGTAACATAAAAAAATAAAATTGCCCAAATTTCAAAAATTTAAAGCCAACTTAGCATATCTCCCTGAACTGCTGGATTCACATCATTCAGACATCGGTTAGCATTTCGTGAAACCTTCTTCCCGTAACTGCATCTTCGATTCCTGTTCCAATAATTTTACTTTGATATGTGTAAACAGCGGCAAAAAACGCAAATCGTAACATTCATATTTTAATGATGAAATACCATCCGTTTGTTGCCGCAGTGTTGTTTTGGCTAATAAATCATATCGACATCTGAAATCAATTTCTCTCTTAACATAATTTTGATATCAGAATTCTTAACATTAAATTGACTGTTTTTTGAAAACAGTGAAATTCCTCAAATTCAGTATATATATATATATATATATATGGAATTTTTCAGCAATAAGAACTGTATGAGATGGAAGAAACTAACTTATTGATGGGATTTTTTGCCTCTGATTTATGCGTAATCATTTGATAACGAGCAATTTCCAACGGATAACGCATAATTTTATAGCCAACAGAAGTTACTCTAAAAAATAAAATTTGTTAATAATGATTTACATACGAATTGATTTAATTTGATTACTATGTATTTTAACATCAGAATGTCAAGTTGCTGCAATGTTACGAAGCTAACATAGACAAGGATATCTTTTTTTTCTGCAACTTTTTAAAAAAAAAAATTAAGAAAAACTTTCTCACCGCATTGAGAGATCATCATCTTCGCCACCCCATCCCCAATAACTGTTCGAAAAGCCATTTATTTTTACGAACTGTTCAGTTTTAATAGCACAAACACCTCCAAATATTGATCCGTAAGGTAATCTACAATGAGCAATTAGTTCAGTAACTAATATTTATTGTCGTATAGACCTGTAAAGCGAGATACTGAGGATTTCTTCATATTCTACGCTTGAAATCGACAAAGGAATTAAAATTTCATAAAAAGTAAAGCACATAATTTCACATGTAATGGGGATAGTTCCAAAACACAATCATTGCAAAAATTGAATCTCCGACAAATAATTATTATAGAAAAGTAGATTCACTAATTAAAATTATGGATCGAATATTCAGAGTAATGGAAAGTTGGAATAACTTTCACTACGATTGTTCAGTCGTTTAGGGGGCTCAACTTTTAGCTACATGCATATAAGCATGCAGGACTCTTTTAAAAGAGAATTACAGTACTGACAAACAACAAAAATTCTTTCTGATTCATCCAGTCGTCTCATTTGTAATGAAATTAATTTAAAAACAAACTTATATTGAAATTTGTTGACTGCAACACTCATATGTCTTGGCTGATCGGGACAGGAATAAATGTTACGATCATCCTCTGCCAACAAATCAACATCGTGAAATACGAAGCACTGCCAATCGTAAACTTTCATTGCTTCCACATATCCAACATTCATTAGCTTAGCACGATTGAATGTTTCATTCTCATGTTGCTCAACCACAAAAATCGCATAATCAAGTTGTTGCTTAGTAAGCAGTGAATGAAGATTGTGCAACAGAATACGTAAGTGCGCTTCTCGATCTCTAAAATACATGTGACATATCAAATTAACTCAATAAACGCCTCGTAGGTCTAAGTTAAAATAACTCTGCTCTCCATAACGTGAAGAATTAGTTCATAAAAAATTAAATGAAGAATAACCGAAAATGTATTTTTTGTAAAGTGGCAAAAATAAAGTGTTATAATTAGTGCATCATGCGCAAATGTGGAAAGCGTAAATTTAATTTATTTGTTATAAAGAAGCCTTCAACAAACGTCTAAATCTGAATCATTTATTGCCCTCGGTTAATGACGGGAAATTAGGTAAGTGAAATTTTAGAACTGTTGCACATTTGACCAAGGATTTATAAATTATAGAGAAAATTTTCAGTCACACTTCGGCAAATATCAAATCTTATTTGACTTCTGTCAAAAACGACACTTGTTTCATTAATAATCTATCATATATATGCCTAAAACCTTAATGAAACTGATACCGCATCTTGAAAGCAAACCTGTAAGGCACGACAATAGCTACCCTGTGTCTGGATTGGCAACTGTTAGGTTTTCCATGTCCACCAGGTTCTAAATTTGAGTTCAATCGTTCAATTTCTTCAAATGATGGTTCATCATACCATACTTTTATTGGACCAACCAAACCAGGTGGTGTTGCAGAACAATTCGCCAAACTAAAATTTTGTCGTACCATTTGCAAGTCCGGAGTAATCTTACATTTCAGTAGTGTTCTGTTACCAAATAATCGTCTGCTAGATTGCGCACCTGCAAATTAAATATTAATAATTTAATTGCAAATTTTGTGATAAATGTTTCCCGATCATTTACATCGATAAGAAAATTGTACCAAAAAGTCTCAGACAAACGACGGATTGAATATGGCAAAAATTTTTTAGCCGCATAAAATTCTTATATTGTGAAAATAATGTTGTATAAAAATTTAAGCCAGAAATTTAGGGATTTCACTGTTCATATTTCACTTTCTCGAACATGGGCACGAAGATGAAACATTAACAAAAAGATTTCTCTCCTCTAGCCAAAATCAAAATCTATACTTTTTTCTCAAAAGAAAAATCAAAATTCTTAAACAAAAAAAAAAAAAACATCATAGAAATAGATCAGCATACTGACCCGTTCTAGTGCATATGAATTCCTCAATTTGCCAAAAATATATGTACTTAAGAAATCCAGAATTAAACAAAAATCAACTAACCTGCAGAAATGTTTAACACTGTGTTATGGATATTCCTATCAATGATCGAAAAGTTGACATTCTTTGTAAATGTTTTTGTTGGCTTATTTATTGAACCAGTGGCGAGAGAATTTTCAATTGTCGAGTAAACATTAGTCAGTTCACCGCTCAGTAAACCATTTGCAGAGGGATTATAAAATTTTGAAGAAATATTGATTGAATTATCAATTCGAGTAATATTAGTCAAATTAGATTTTCTTTCATCCGATAGAATTTTCATGAAATTTTGATCATTACTACTGTTGATATCATTCACAGGGATGATTTCTTGCCTATTGCTTTCAACTATTGGCCTCCAAATATGATAATCACTGATAAACGATAAATCACCGCTTAGAAAAAGATGCGCTGCGACACCGAATATTAACAGAATGATAATGAAGCGTCCAGCCATAGGCATGCTTGCGTCCGCATAGTACTTTATGCTTCATCCTCTTCAGCACCAAAAATGAATGAACGTTTCGACATCCGCCTTTCCGTTGAATCACACCAGTCGATAAAACCTTCGCAAATAAACAAATAAGCATATATTACGACAAGATTACTAGGCAACGCCAATTATACATCGGAAAGAAAAAGCGTGAAACGTGAAATGATCGCGTGTGAAAGCATGAAAAAGGTGTAAAGATAAAGAAAGCTCCTTTAAATTAATGAACCAAATTAGTAACTTCCTTTTATTAGTTATGGATCATTTCGATCAAATGCGCCATATTGCTGTGTTAATAAGGCATGGTCAAAGAATTCCTTTTTTTTAATAACAATGACTTCAGCTATCTTTGCCAAATTATTAAATGAAGTATTGTTTTAGTTGGACAAAATAATTCTGTAAAATTATTTACTGAAATGCCTTATTAACACTAATCGTCTCGGATTACTGCACAAAATTATAATCGAGGAACTGAATATTTTCTTTTTTTCAGGAACTAAATAATATCCAATCAATACCAATTCTTCGATCAATTGTACTAAAAAAATTATAGCTAAACTTGAAAATTTTTCAAAAAGTGTACGAAACAATGCTTTTTTTTTTCTGGCACCCCTTCATTTCTGAATAATATTCCGGAAAGAAAAAGATAGAAAAATGGCAAGTGAATTCAGAAATCTTTCAAACTGAAGAAAATAAATCTTTTCCTTTTTGAAACTCCGTTCATTTTCGGATATTTATTCTCGTTAGAAAGTGATATAAAAAAAAAAAAAGGAAAATTGAATCCAAAAATTCTTTAACCTACCGAATTTTTTTTCTGGTAACCAAAAGAAACTGATATATGATATTACAATTGTGCATGACCTTTATGACCTGACCCGTTCCTTTCCTTCAATACTGGGACGATTTCTTTGTCTTTGTTGTGACTCAAATGCTAACGCATATCGAGCTTCTGAGACTGTTCCGGCAGTCGGTGGCATTTCACTTTCACCGCTAACTCTCGATCGGGCAGAGGTCATGGGTCTAAGCTGGTTGTATCTTGAAATTTTGCATTTAGTACTGTTACAAATCTGCCTAAAAATAGGTGCGCAACCGTACCTAGCATGAAATTTACTTGCTAGCATACGGCTGATATAAATTAGTATACTTTTTAGCGGAGATGACGCATTCACCTATTAGCAAATATAATTAGTAGATAAAAAGAAGGATGTCAAAAATAACAAGAATGTTTTCGTGAATTTAATTTTTTCCACCAAAAAAAAAAAAACAGTTATTATTCAAATTTAACGGTTAAACATACTTTTAAGAATTTTTATTCTCATTATTTTCATCAATAATGTAAATCGAGAATTATGTAAATTTAAAAATAACAATCATTGCATCATGCGAAAACGAACGTTATCCGTGTTGACTCAAAAATGATACGATCTAAGCAATACCAATTCCTCCTTTCAAACATATTAATTTTTGGCATTTTTTTTTTTTGCATATGCAAAATTTCTGACATTTTCCAATGAATAAAAATTTCTCCTAAATCTTGGAGAACAAGCACTGCAACGGCACTTTTAAATGTTCAATCAATCAATAAATAAATATGTCGAAATTTTTGAAGATATCTGAGAATTTCAATAACAATAAATATTTCATACTATTCAAATTCATTCATCGGAAAGTACATTTATCTATTTTGCATACTTTCTTTTTTTCTTTCTCATCATTTTTCCAAGAAAAAAAAAAATTGAAAGAAGAAGTATTTCCATAAAAGAGTAAGAGCTGCTAATTGATAAGGAATGCACGAATAAAACAAAAGTAGGATATAATTACCCGAGAGTGGAGAATAAAGTTGAGGAGGTCACCACATTGTCGCATTTGATGAGGAATCCAAAAGATCACATCAGAGGTCATATGGTATGCAATCATTTTTTCAGCTTACCACAGCAAATGATTGTTAAGGTCAAGATTGACGTGAGTGGCCAGCTGAGGATGCTGCTTTACATTTCAATCACAAACTAATCTATCGTTCACGAAAAAGTGCAATACACACATACACACATACACACGTACAGACATACACAC